AGCTAGCACAACCTTATGTGTATGTATAAGCACATACAACATTTTATATATTGTGTATACACAATTATATAGTTTGTATCTTAATATATCATTAATATATTATTATATACTACACGTACTATACGTTATATATTATACCTACAGCTATATATATATATTACATATATATCGTTTTTACTTTTCTCTAAAAAGTTCTTCTGTTTGTATATACAGCTTTTTCATCGATAGCTATTCTTCTGAAAATAGGTGTTACAGGGCTGGCTTAAGAACAGTTCCTGTCTCAAACTGTTTTCAGCAAAAAAGGGAAATAGAAACAAGTCAGAAGAGCAAGTTCTAAGGGTCATTGTATTAATAATGATATTGTTTTTTCCTTAGGTTAAATAATGTTGGAGTTTTTCCCTTAGGCTAAATTCTGAAGAAATAAGGGACAAACAGCAAAGCTGAAGTTGCGCTGCAGGAAAAAGACCACAACAATGGAGGAATCAGAGAAACCTTTATAAAGGACAGATGTCACAGGACAGGAGGGAGTGGAAGGGTAAAGTCAGAGTACAGTGACGAAAAAAAATAATCCTTTCGCGGGAAAACATGTCTTCACCAGAGGACTTCCCAGACTCTTAAAGGAAAGTAAAAAATTCAGAACCACGTTCTAAAAACCACAGAACACGACCGTAAATTCTCTTGGTCCAGACATGATAAAGGCTGGTTTTCTGAAATCAGTTATATTCTTCTGATTACTGTCAGTGTGTAAGTCAGTTTGAGAACAAAGCTTTTCTTTAATTTTAGACAAGTACCTATTGCTTTCTCTGAAGACTCAGATGCAAGCCTTAAGTCTCTAGAATGAAGCTGTCAGCACACAGTGCTTCTGGTTTGCAGAAAGTGCCAGCACATTTTTTTTCTGGGGCAACCATAAATTCCTGCTATTACTCACCTTCTAACCTCAAATCTATGTATTTGCCTTTTTAGCTACTGTTAGCATGCCACTACCAACGACACTTCAAAAGCGTGTTTCTGCTGCCACGTCAGCCAAAAACAACTAGTTCAAGCATGTACCAATTTGGAAATGACTTAAAGATATTACTCTAGGGAGTTTTATTACTGACGTATGATTATCTTAAAAAGTATTTATTTTCTTTTCAGGCTCTTTTAGTCTCCAGAAAGTTAAATCTTGCTGAACATGAAGACAGTAATGATGGAGTTGGAAGGCTTTTTGGTAAATTAAAATCCGTAAGTTAAATATAGCCTTTTAAATTACGCTCATCACGCTTTTGTCTCACCTACTACTAACTACAAAAACATTTCAGAGATATCACAGAATGAAAAATTTGACAGTCAGAAGAAAAGCATTATCATAGAATCATAGAATGGTTAGGGTTGGAACGGACCTCAATCATGTAGTTCCACCCCCCCTGCCATGGGCAGGGAAACCCTCCACTACACCAGGTTGCCCAAAACCTCATCCAACCTGACCTTGAATACTTCCAGGGATGGGGCATCCACAACTTCTCTGGGCAACCTGTTACCGTGCCTCACCAACCTCTGAGTGAAAAATTTCTTCCTTATATCTAATTGAAATCTGCTCTCTTTCGATTTAAAGCCATTGCCCCTTGTCCTATCACTACACGCCCTTGCAAAAAGCCCCTCTCCAGCTTTCCTGTAGGCCCCCTTTAAGTACTGGAAGGCTGCCAGAAGGTCTTCCCAGAGCCTTCTCTTCTCCAGGCTGAAGAGCCCCAACTCTCTCAGCCTGTCTTCATAGCAGAGGTGTTCCATCCCTTGGATCATCTTCGTGGCCCTCCTCTGGACCCACTCCAATTACATTGATTCAATTACATTGATTTGTATTTACTGTTCCAAATCACAGACCAGATTCTTGGAAGTTTCATATAGATTCTGTAAGTATTTCTATCTACCAAATGACCATCACTTCTGAACATGCACTGGAGCAATCCACTTTTGCTAATCCTTGCTTTACTGTCTCAATACTATTGCTTGTAAGTATTCAATTCAAAGAGCTACAGTCAGACAGCACCTTTAAAAACAGTACTAGACGTTCTCAGGAAATCAAGCGTTATACAAGACAGCAACATTAGTAGTTCAGCAAGTACTCTGAAAAAAGAAAAAACAATGCAGTTCACAGATAATAGAAATCCCGCAGTTGATACAAACTCTTCAGCATATTGAAGAGTTACAGCAAAGTGCTGTACAAACTACGTCTTTGCCTTGCCTTTAATATTTCCTAAAGGTATCCTAAATGCCTATGCTAGTCTCACCCTGTGTGAGAACGGGGAATGCAAGCTTCTCTCCCTTCTCTTCCAGTCCTCCCACACAGCCCCGGAATCTTGACGGTTTGCCTTGCTCTTCTCCCATGGAAAAGATAGTGGGTTGCTGCTTTCTTGCATGTTTCAAATGTTTAGTATTTACAGTACTTGTGAGCCCCTGTATCTTACTCCAGCCTCTCTGCAGCTTCCTACTCTCACTGACTCCACCTTTGTCCCAGTCACCCAGTTACAGGTATATTTTGCCTGCATGGTCCACAACACTCCCATTGGCACACCGACTGTTAGTTCACCTCAGCATATCAGTGAGTACTTCTCAAAACTGGACCGTAGTTCCTTTTGCATCTCTATGCTTCATTCGTTGCACCTCTCTCTCCTACTGCAAAGTAGTCCAACTTACAGCCCTGTGTCAGTCAACATGGAAACTCAACATCTCTATTCCTACTCATGTTGCAGGACAACTCCATGACCATGCTTTGTTTCGTCCTTACTCAATTCTTTGCATTTGATTTCACCTCATGCACAGTCCCAGATGAGTTTATCTTTTGTCTGGGCCCACTGATTAATTCATAGATTCATAGATTTCTAGGTTGGAAAAGACCTTAGAGATCATCGAGTCCAACCATCCCTAATCCCCATTAAACCATATCCTCAAGTAGATCATCCACCCTATTCTTAAACACATCCAGGGACGGGGACTCAACCACCTCCCTGGGCAGCCTATTCCAGTGGCTGACAACCCTTTCAGAGAAGAAATACTTCCTAACATCCAACCTGAATCTCCCCTGACTAAGCTTATGCCCATTTCCTCTTGTTCTATCACCCATCACTAATGTAAAGAGTCCTTCCCCTACCTCCCCACCATCGTTTCTCAAGTATTTATAGGCCGTAATCAGGTCTCCCCTCAGCCTCCTCTTCTCCAGGCTAAACAGCCCCAACTCCCTCAGCCTCTCTTCATAAGTTTTATTTTCCAGCCCCTTGACCAGTTTAGTCGCCCTTCTTTGGACTCGCTCCAGGAGCTCAATATCTCTCTTAAAGCGAGGGGCCCAAAACTGGACACAATATTCCAGGTGCGGCCTCACCAGTGCCGAGTACAGGGGCAGGATCACTTCCCTGCTCCTGCTGGTCACACTATTCTTGATACACACCAGTATCCCATTGGCCTTTTTCGCCACCTGGGCACACTGCTGGCTCATATCAAGCCGGTAGTCAACCAGCACCCCCAGGTCCTTCTCCACCAGGCAGCTCTCCAGCCACTCTTCCCCGAGCCTATAGCGATGCTTGGGGTTTTTATACCCCAAGTGAAGGACTCTGCACTTGGCCTTATTAAAGGCATTTGTACTTCTACCCAGTTAAAAAAAAAAGTCTAGATAGTACTCTGTTTAATTTCCGAAACGCATTTAAGTTAACAGTTGTGTGGCAACTTCAGGTAACCACAATCTCTTTTACAGGCAATAATACTTTGGTTTAGTTTAATGTTATCTTTTTATTGATAAAATTTGATTTAATTCAACAGATTGAAATATGAAAGTCATACCTCTGAGGGAATTGTAGCATTATTTATTAACCCTTCCACACAGACTTGTCTGTTAGACTCATTGAAAAAACAGTGATCGTCCTTTGCTTTTTCACAAAGTTCCTGGTCATGTCATGATTGGGGTGTTTTAGTTTGGTTTTTTTTTTTTTTTCTTGAAAGCCATTTGGCCATTGGCAGAGCTGACAGAGGCATCAGTAATATCTTCACATAACTGTGCTTGGCCTTGGGGTTTCTGGTGTGCTGTATCCTATCAGTAGTAGTTATATGTAAGTGTCAGGCTGTGTAGCTAAAAAAGAGCTGTGTATCTGATTTCTTTCTTGTCCTATAAGCACAGGATCCTGATGTTCAAATTTTTCTTGTGTTACATAGTGGGGTTTAATGACAGAGGTTTGATTTTTACATTTCTGCAGTCAGAAGCCTTACATCTGAAGCAGAGAAGGCAAGCACAGTCAGGTAGAAATCTGAGAAAGCAGTGCAGCCCTGTCTTTTAGAATCCTACCACATATTAGCAGTTTGGATCTAGCTCTGACATCAACTTTAATTCCATCAGAATTATACCTCCTGGTTCTGTGGTGTTGCTGCCTAAAGAAAGTAAAAGTCCATTTTAAACTGCCGAGATGGCACACAGATAAAGGTGAGCGCATATTGCCTACATTCTCAGCTTCTGAGCCTTTCTTTCTCTTAGATGATTATTTCAAATACACTCCAGGATTTTTAAAGAAGTATGTCTTTGCATGTTTTGATTCTGACATCTGAGAGTAAGCGATCACATCAGTTGAAGAAATGGGTTAGCTATATTACAAGTGCATTAATATAAATTAGTTAACAAGCTATTCACCAGGAATTTCTCACCCAAAGTTGAACACAGTGCTCTGCTCTCTCATATGTCTTGTGATAGCATTTTGCGTCTCTCAGTTGAACAGTGAGGCTTATACGTCCTTGTGAAGCACATCTTTAAAGTGCTGCCTTCTCAAGCAGGAGATTTTCAAGGGCTGTTGGCTTGTTACACTGCAGTTTTCAGTTCATGTGCATTGCCACAGGCTCTGTACTATTAAAATGTTCATACTCATGCGCATTGTTACCAATCTTTGCTCTAGGCAGACTAATCCTTTCTCTTCCCTGTCCCTTCTACGTTTGTATCAGGTGGTAAATCTGCAATACAGTGAAGTTCAGGATCGGGTCATGCTCACTGGCCGCCACATGGTTCGAGACGTGAGCTGCAAGAACTGCAACAGCAAACTGGGTTGGATCTATGAATTTGCCACTGAAGACAGCCAGCGCTACAAGGAAGGCCGCGTTATCCTGGAAAGAGCATTGGTCCGAGAGAGTGAAGGATTTGAGGAGCATGTTCCATCCGACAATTCCTGAAGAGACTTCAGTCTCTTAGCAGGTTCTCTTCAAGTGAAACTCAAAAATAATAAAATCAACAAAAAAATCTGCTTACATACACTGTCACCTTAGCATCAGAGTCGGATTCATGGACTACAGAGTGGGAAAGATTGTGAGAGTATTTCGGATGGAACCTTCCTTTCTTTATTCCTTTTATATTTTACTTTCCCTCCAGCAGTTGTTTGTAGAAAGAATGTTGTGCAGATGCTGTAACTTTTTCTCTCTTGCATTTATATCTGTTAGATTTGAGATTGTATCTACAGATACAGTGGGCTAAAAGGAAAATATTTGAGGGATTTGTCTTTTGTTAGAGAGAAATCAATGAGTTTTTTTTAGTTTGCACAAATTGATGTCAGCGTAAAGTTATTTTAAAACTACGGATGTTTTTTACAAAGTATATTCCAATTTTTGGCTTAAGTTTTTAGTTGGTGGTTTGTTTTTTTTTTTTACCCAGTCTTTTCACCTGATTTGCTAGCTAAAGTGAAGAGATCCGAATTTGTGCCGAGTGCTAAAGGTTCAGTGTTGGTACAGCTTGGGCTGGCCCTTGTGCCATATTCTTGTTGAGGTTGATTGGTAGCACAGAGCCCATTATTTCTTGTCGTTCTTGACCCAAAGATGTCACCATTCCTCGTTTATTTGTGGAGTCCCATTCACCATGTAAACTGGTGTTGATTGGAAACTATTGAAATAGGGCAAAACTGCTTGGCTTTTTTTTGATTTTAACTGATGTAACTTATAAGCATAGTAATAATATAAAATAATAGTTGTCTGTTTAGTCTTGCGTTGCTTACAAATCAGAAGCTGTGTTTGTAATGATAGGGATCCACTGAGAAACTACTGTTTCAGTAGTAATTTTTTTCGTTTCTCTACTAATCTCATTAAGTAGACAGGCAATTGCAAATCTTAGTTCTTCTTCAAGTAGCTTTCTTTAAACCCAGAACTTCCTATGTTAAACACAGCTGCTGTGTAAAAGGAGAAGATTGCCAGCATGTTTGTTCATGCCTAGAGTTATGCAATCTGCATCTCTTGAAAAGATTAACTTAAACAGCTTGTTTTCAAATGCTGCTTCTGGTGTTGAAACCTTTATCTTTCAACTTTGTTGAACCTTTTCATTGTGATGTTACGTTTTTATCTTTCTGGGCAGCAGTACATGTCAGCCTAGTAGCAACTAGTAGCAACTAGTGACTTGGATTAAAATGTTCTTCTTGTAGAGGTCAGCTCTGTTTAGAAAAGTGATCTTGCTTGCCTTTTTAGCAAAGATGCTCTTCATTAACGTAACTCAAGGGTGCCCAAACACTTTTATTGTGTCTTAAGCCATAAGTTAAGATATCAAGGGCTGAAATTAATTTGAATGTTAGATATGTATGATTCCTTATCAAAGATACGAGTTGGTTTTTTTTTTCTTATTGGATAAATTGTGGTCAATGTGAAAGAAGTTACCCACAGAAGTACAAGAGGGGAAAAAAACCCCACCCAACCAAACAGATGTGGGCTCTGAACTTTCAGAATAACTTTTCTTCACTAGCCACAGCTCCATATCTGAAACTAAAATGTGGAGGGTGACTATGCAGAGTATTTTTCTTAATTTTTTTTTTTGATTGCCAAGTGGTGATTTGGACACCCCTGACATGAATCTACTGCCTATTTCATGTAAAAGTAGCTTTATTATAGAATTGTCACATAGAAAGAAAACAGAGTAGATCCCATACCAGAGCTGCGCTTGAATCAAGCTGCTTAAACAATAGTGTACTTGTGCCTCAAATGAATCAGTTTTTGCACTGAGTACAGTAGTACCCCATTATCTTGTACTTCTGTCCTTCACAGACCCTAAAAGCCCCATTAGCATGGTTCTCTGCAGTACTTTTCTTGTACTTCTGACATTACAGTACAATAAAGTATGTTTTGTCCTGAATTGATATTTGCTGTTCTTTTTGAGTAGTTTCCATGGAGTCTGTCAACTGAATGACATAACCTGTCTTCCCTTCCCTGCATTGAGAAAATCATCAGGTTTCTACAGCTCAGTTACAAGCTGTTGATGAGCGTCTCTCTCTGAATAGGTGGCAGAAGAGTGTACTGTTGGTTTTGGACACTTGAAGGCCTTCAATTTACTCCTGTTAAAGAGGATAAAAACAGGAAATTGCTCATTTAATGGAATTCTGAGTGCCAAACCTAAATCTTTCCCTGTGTTTGAAAAGACAGCAAGCTAAGCAAAACTCCAGCTTCCGCAAGAAATGTGAAGCTTTATCTTCTAAAATGGCTTGGGAATTGAGAAATTGGGAATTTGCGCATCTGGAATTCTGTGTCCTTTTTTCTTTGCGTGCAAATGTTAGGGGGGAGCCTTCTTCTAGGAGCTCATCAACTTCTTAAGCTGTAGCTGAAGAACTGAGGTGAGATGATCATTCTATTGCTGTCATGGAGCCTGAGGAGTTTATTTTAACTCATATTAAGACCTTGTTTGGGAAGAATGTTAGACTGTGAGATGTTAAATATTGCTTTCCCCAAAGTTTATGATTTGAAAAACACTTACTGAGTTGAATTCGTTAAAATCCTATGAAGCTCAAGCAAGTCCACTGCAGCTTTAAAACAATAGACCTTGGATTGCTCTTTTAGCCTACGTTGCTGTTCCCTTCTATATCACCTTGATGGCTCTGTGGGAGAGTTCAGCCTCTTAAATTTTGACTGCTCCTCCTTGAGACACTTCGTGAATGCAGATAACTTATCTGTAGGGAACAAAACAATTGGTTACAGTACAGCTAGGAACAGGGAAGACAGTGCTATTTGGTGCTAAAAGTTATTTTGTGGTAGTGCAGTAGCCTTTGAATTCCCAAACAGGGTATAACTGGCACAGCAAAACGTGTCACTACAGTGACCTTGTGTCTGGCATGTGATGCTGGGCCCGTCCTGTCTTAGGCAAATAAGGTAGCAAGGGAATGATGGTGCACAGCGCTCCGCTGAGTGTGTATGGAGACCTCAGAATTTGTGCTCTTAGACTGCAGCTTCGGCCAGCAGTGGTGCTGTGACTTTTCACCTAACAATAGCTGAATTAGAGTTTACATCACCTGTGCTGTGTTCTCATCCTGTAGTTGCAGTGTGGGTGTACCCAAAACTGAAGTATTTCAGTGAAGCTGCTAACTCTGTCCCAGTCAAAACCAGGACACTACCATTTCAGCAAAACGGCTCTGGAAAGGTGAAAAGATGGGATGGTGTGTTTGTGGATTGAAAAAAAAGCATTTTAGTTATGCTTTCTGTGGACGTTCAAAAGAACTTTTGAAATAGCATGCGTATCTCATGGCTCTGTTAGAAAAGGTGGCATTACACTGGGCTCTGGGAATGCTATGATCAGCTGACACAGGCTTATTCTTACAGGGCAAACTTGTCTCTTCAGATTCTGCCAGAGCTGTAGGAAGCAAAGTCAGCAGATCATCACTGGATTAACAGGTAAGGAACCAGTGAAGCTGCAGTTCAGGACAGAATTGTCAGGTATGAGGACGAGGTGACTCGAAGGTTATGGCATTGATGTGGGAAAAGGCTAGCTGGTTAATCAACTCTATTTTAGAAGAGAAACCTAAGCTGTGATGTTCCAGTACCACTGTGCAAAAGCCAGAAATAATGTGTTGTGTTTCCTTCTTTGGCCTGCCTTCGCTTCTTTAACAAAACAATAATAAATAAATAAATAAAATACAGTGAAACCTGGTTTCCTGTGGATCTTGAGGGCCTGACAGATCTGATACCTGACAGGGATGAAATGCTTCAGACTTCAGTTTATTTGACTGGGGCACTGATTAGGGTCCCTCTCCAATCTGGGCCCTGGTTTTGTAGAACTTTAAAGAATTAATCAATTTTGGGACCCCTCTCTTCGTAAGCTGGAGTTAAAAGTGCCCGTAAACTTAAAAAGATCACTCTGAGTGGTGAGGAGGAGTATGACCTGATTGACAATGTCACGATGTAAGACTTTTTATTCTTTCAGGAAATCTGAAATATTATGGCTAAGGAAAATGAGCTCCTGTCTATCTGATCAACTATTACATGGCAAAGACATTCAACAGCTTCTGATAAGCCTAATTTTGACAGTGTGGAGCTGTTCCTAGTCTCATTGTTACTTCCCTCACCACCTCTCTGGCGCAAGGATTTCTGGTAGGTGTAGGAAATTATAAAAGAGGAAACCTCACCTTTGCATTCCAGTGTTCTGTTTGTTTACAAATAGGATTGTTCTTATTTGAATGGATTTATGTGATCCTAGTAGAACTGCTGGGGATCTAATACCAGCCTTTCACTAGGTAAGGGCCCTTCTGGCAGAGTGTTAATGACAATATCATCTCTCTCATCCTCAAGTCTAGGCAGAGGTTATTTGGGAGTGATACTTGACTGAACATCCTGCTCTGGGCAGAGGTGATGTGGAGCAAGACCTCATACACCCTGCTTGCAGGGCACTTCCATTCCGTTGCTATGCTACATCTCTTTCCATCAGATGTTATGTCGGTGTGATCAGCTTAAATTTGCGTTGCAGCTCCTCTTTTTAGAAAGGAGTGACTGTGAGACAGCAGTCTGTGCCTCGTAAATGTGACATTTCACTCTCAGGGGCCTGAAATACTTAGTTTGGTACAGGCTGCTCTGTCTGCTTCTCAGTGGAAGGGGTGGCTGTGTTCCTGTTTGATTTGTTAACTGCAAAAATAAGCCCTGACACTTGTCTAAGAAATGGCCAGAATCTCTCTGCAGTGGGAGGCAGGTTATGGAAGAGAAACTCAGATGAAAGAGGGAAAACATTTGTGTGTGTGTGTGTGAGAGGTGATGCAAGTCTTACTAAACCAGGCAG